GGGGTGCTAGAATTCAGCCGGATGTGTTTGGACAGACCACTTCTGAGATCTAATTTCAAAATGAATCACACCTGAAAACTAAAATTTAATTTACACGTCCTACGCATTCTCAGGGGTGCTGTAATTCAGCCGGATATGTTCCGACAGACTACTTAATAGAAGTAATTCCAACGTTCAGTTCCCTTTTTCAACTCTTCCTCAGGGGTGCTGGAATTCAGCTGGATGTGTGCTGGCATACCACTTGTGGGAATATTAATCACTCCCAAAAACAACAAACATTTCATTTTACTAACCAGAATGTCGTGGATTAATTTTGGAGGTGACGGACCACCACAGATTTAGAAGCAGCAGATACAGCAGCAGTTCGTGTAGCCGTGGCCAAGGCTAGAAACCTCGGTCTGATGGTCACGACACTTCTCTGCTACTACACTCTCCAGCAGCCGGCTGAAAAAAATATTTGCAAAAATAACCAACATTGTTTTGATTTTTTTCATTAAAAAACAGTTTACTTACCTTGAGAATAAATATGCCTGTTGATTCGTCCCGCCGGGAGACCAACCACTCAGGAAGATGGCCATCGGAGGCCAATTTCGCGGCCCGGATTAAAACAAACAATCTCCTGACACGACCGAAATTCAAACATGGCTGACCACACAATCAGCCGACGCGAAAAAAATCACAAAAAAAATGCTAAGTTCCATCCGCCATTTGGTAGCCCGGCGGATGAAATTGCTCTAGCGGGGCGAGTCGCCTTTCGTCCGGATCCCGGAGCGCCATTTGGTCGCCCGGCGGATGAAATTACTCTAGCGGGGCGAGTCGCCCTTCGTCCGCATCCCGGACAAAGGGCGAACGATCAGTCTTCAAGTCGCTCAATGTCAAATGACGTCACTTTTTCGCCGGCAATTCGTGTGGGATACTTTGCGTGAAGCCGAAAAATCCTGGTTCTCTGGTTCCATCGAACCAGAGAACCAGGATTTTTCGGCTTCACGCAAAGTATATGGGAATGACGTTTGTGTCATAGATGTGATTTGTACACGTGATCGCATTTGATTCAATTGAAAAAAAGGAGAACGCAGTGATTTCGAAAGATATTCTCTTGAGTATTCGAAAATTGGTGATTCATGATGTGCAAAACGGAGAATCGCACCGGGCTGTCGATAGGAAGTACAGTATCAGCAAGGCAGCTTTACATTGCATATAAAGGCTTTCTATAAAATTAGCTTCATAATGTCGATTTTAAAGATAAATTAGATTCCTAATGAATAATAACTCGCACCTGCCGATATTATCCGATTTCATTCACTATTCATCGATAATGTTGGATGTGGTAGAATTATCGAGCATTATGCTGATGTTATTTTTAGTGTGTTTTGTTTTGTGAACTGTCACTTTCTTGAGCACCTGCTTTTGTGATTGTTGCATGTTCAAACAGAATTGATGACCAAACGGACCAAACGTGACCAAACCCATCGATGCTGATGTTCACCGGATGCCTGAGATTGGGGAAGTATGTTGAGGTACACAGCAAAAAAAAAATGTAATATCGATCAATGTAATTCAAGCTGATGTATGAAATAATGATGTAATAGCAAAAAGCAGATACAATATTAAATCAATGGATGTAATTTTGTTCGCAAAATCGATGTACATCGTACAACCAACAATCAATACGAAACTAACGATTTTAAATTGGCTCACTACTTGACTAGCCTATTGGTCCCAAGCAAATGATTAACGTACCCCATTCTAGTCAAAATTCTAGTACTACACAATGTTTGTTTTGATTCGCTATGAACGTTTGACAGATAAAATGAGGGGTTATTGGATTTTCCTATGTTTCGAGGGGTGAATCGATTAGCTTGGGACCGAAGATAGTACCAGAGCTGAGCCAAAAAGTTGAGCACGTTTCTTCGGGACCTTCTAGTCTTAAAGTTACCTCTATGGTACAACGTTATATTACACAACCGATGGATTGACCTGGTTGCAGCAGTTTGGATGTAATATTCAACAACTTTTTTTTCTGTGTAGTGAAGGAAATCAGTAATGACCTCGGAGATATCCGAGAATTTATTCCTATTGTGTGTAATGCGCTATACTATCACCTCAAAATTTCAAGAGCACAGCTGCCACAAAACATACAACAATGAAACTGGAACGTCACATATGATGCAGCAAACAGGGAGTTCCAATTTCACGAGCGATGTCACAACTGTGACCGAAATTTGTTCTCTAGAACACTTGAAGTGATCATCTCAGGCATAACATTTGATAACGGCACAAAAGCATTTGTAAACAAACTTTCTAAGGCCCTTTACACGCGAACCAAAGTACGCCCACGCAAACCAATACCACTTTCGGAAAGGTGATAGTTTCCCCTATCCGATGATGTTATTGGTGAGCGTACTTTGGTTCGCGTGTAAAGGGCCTTAGAAAGTTTATTTACAAATGCTTTTGTGCCGTTATCAAATGTTATGCCTGATCTATCATGCGGAAATTAGTGGACTTTTCACGAGGGGCGATCAACTTTGTAAATCAGCTGAATTGTAAATACAAACTTTGGAAAATACACAAAAAAATACGTAAATGTGTACACGCTGAAACTAAAATATCCTTATAAAAATACTCAAAAATACGTCGAAAATACTTTACACACGAAAAATAAATTTCAAAATTGAATTTAATACACTTTAATACAAAAATACACAAAACTTAAAAATACATAAATACGAAAAAAAAAATACAAAATACACCTACAAGTTGACAGCCCTTCGACTCTTCAAGGAATCACCATAAATGATTTTTGAAGAAACGATTTTCGAAAAGATTTCTCGACCAAAAACTGGATCAGCAAACTTGTAATGACCTTATCTTGTAATCTGAAGCTCGCCTACGCAAACCAATTCCACCAATCAGATAGGAGAGAATTTTTCCTAGCCAAAGATGTTATTGATTTGGCAAGGCAATCTTCGGTTTGCGATAAAAGCCGAGATAAAAGCGCAATACAATATTTGATTACAAAAGCTGATCCGCCATTTTGTAGTGTTGGTTGAGGTTTCACGATGTTTCTTTCTTATAAATAAATGACTGTCATCGTTACCTGTCATCATACTTATAGAGAAGTGACCCGACATAAGAGATGTGACCGATAAAATTCGATATTATTTATTTTAGGAGATTTAAAATGGATTTCTCCGACTTTTAATCAATAAATCAAACTTTGTAATAATTTCTGGCAAAATTTGAATAAATCTAGGACTTTCGTTCCCCTCGTTCTGAAACGTTCAAAAAATAATTCATTTTATTTTGCCTATAAGTGTCCGAAGTTCCTGAAGTTTAAAAAAATAGTGAACTTCAACAGATTACCTCAAATTTCTACGAAATTCGCTAAAAATATTTAAAGTTTGCTACATTTTTACAAAGTTTGATCAAGTTCTACAAAGATATCCGAAGGATACATTTATTCATACAAACAGGCCACCATTACCGAGCATGGAAAGCTGGATAGGCTCGTCAAATCGAGAGTCAAGTAGTGAACCAATTAACCACTTCATTCGAGCAGTTAAAATGACGTTTACTACCACTCAAACATTGATATAAAACATTATTTTGACATTTTTTCTTCTAGGACCTCGAGATAAGAAGCCAACATTTATGCGTTTCATAAAAAAATAGAAATTAGTTGGTCCAGTTTTCTAAAATCGCTGGTAGAAAGTCACGCCAAAACTGCGTGAAATTATAATCGTTAGTTTTTACCGGTTGGTAATTCTCTGTATTTGCAAGTTTACTAAAGTTTAAAAAAAAAATAGCAGAACTTCTACAAAATTCACTGAGTTTCTACAAGGTCCGCTGCACTTTTACAAAATTTTCTGCACTTCCAGAAAGTTTACTGAATTACGCTAAGATTATTGGAGTTCTTTGATACTTCATGAAAATCTACGACGTTCTTTGAAGTTCTGCAAAGTTCCTTAATTTTAACGAATATCCTCGAATTTCTACGAAGCTCTCAGAAATCATATGATATTGTCTAAATTCCTACAAATTGCCCATGCATTCCCTAAACTTCCCCCCCCCCCCCTTTGCTCAACGTCTGAAAAAAAAACTCGATTTTATAAATGTAAAATATTTAACACCCTCTCTCATCCTCAAATTGACCACACAGCAAAGAAAAAATTTAATATCGATCAACGAAATTCAAGCTGATGTATGAAATAATGATGTAATAGCAAAAAGCAGCTACAATATTACATCAATGGATGTAATTTTGTTCGCAAAATCGATGTACATCGTGCAATGTGATATTACACAACCGATGGATTGACCTGGTTGCAGCAGTTTCGATGTAATATTCAACAACTTTTTTTGCTGTGCACTTTGTCAAACAGCTTAGGCGTGACTTTCTACCAGCTATTTCACAAAACTGGGCTAACTAATTTCTATTTTTTATGAAACGCACAAATGTTGGCTACTTTTCTCGTGGTTCTAGAAGAAACAATCTCAAAATAATGTTTTATTTCAAAGTTCAAGTGGTAGTAATCGTCATTTTAACTGCTCGAATGAAGTGGTAAGTAACGGTGAAGGCATTTCGTCGATCTTTTTGAAGATTTTTTTTTTCAAATACACCTAGCATCCCTGCCTACAACTGCTCGAGCTATAGTGAACTTATAAGTGAGTGTTTTTATGTGACGTAATAAATGGATACACCTGAAAACAGTAAACAAACGTGCTGATGCTCCACGCAGACGTCACGAATGAACGCGATGAGCGCTTGTTCATGAGTTTGACATCCAATGGTGGTTTGCTTACCTTTTCCTGTTGGTCGATTCAAGTGGATTCGAGTTTTAAAATAACATGGACTTAAATTTACGTTTCCCAACTATGTTCTTTTAAAAAATCTTCCGCTCTAGAAAATTAAAAACAAAAGCATTTAAAAAAAAAGTCAATATTTTTCTTCTAAGTTCATGTAAGCAAACTACCATCAGAAGTCAAAAAAGTGAGGACTCGACGGTGTAACTCACTATTTGAATGATCAAAATATTGCACATCAACATCAACAAGGTACAGAGAAAGTTTCACTAAATTTTGAACATTTTAAATTATTAATAGTTACATTGTTACATTGTTGTTTTCAGCCTTATTTGAGATAAAGATAACAAAAATGAGTTCACAAATTATCACAGAGCAACCAAAATTGAGGGAATATTTCCAAAAAGTCTGTCGGTTATGTTTCAGTGAAGAAATGCTTGAAGATGTTTTCAAAATCAAACAAGACGAAATTATTCGATGGATATCGGATTTACTCTCTATTGTGGTATGTGTCAAACATCCTGATCGATTTTAAAGAAAAGCTGAACCGTTTCTCTCACAGGTTTCCGAAGACGACCAAATCAGCCGATCCATTTGCGCTATCTGTCGGGCACGGTTGTACGAATTCCACAACTACAAAGTGAGCTGCCTCGAAGTGCAAGAAGTACTTCGGAGCCAAATATGTCCGGCTGCGGAGAAAGACACAGAACCTGCACTATTTGATCAGAAAACATCCGAGCTGCAAGACGACTCAGGCACGGACGATCTGCTCGATGAAATGAAAATTTCAGCCGAAAACACCGAACTAGATGCAGAAACCGTTGAAATTGAGCACATCGAACAACCCGTTAGGCAGAAGAAATCCGGACAGAAACAATATGTTTATGAGTATAAAGTAGTGAACAAAACCCAAGTGGTGTCATGCAGCACCTGCGGTAAAAAAGTTCCAAAATCTTGTCTACAGGCCCATCAAGATAAGCATAAGCATCGTTAGTACCTTCTCAACATTATTTTTTTCACGCTTATGTACATCAAATTAATTTCCCCACTGTTCCTTAGGATACCACAAAACAGGTCTTCCTATCTACAAATGCGAACATGGTTGTGTAGGTATGAAGTTCAAAAGCCTGCAAACCCAACTGCATCACTATGTGAACGTTCACGATTATCGGGCAATGGAGTGCAAAGTTTGCTGCAAATTGTTTAGATCCCAAACCAATCTATACTACCACATGAAAAGAATACATCAGTTGAAATCATACCATTGCACGATTTGCAACAGTTCGTTTCCAATAAAGTAAGGATAAGACGAGGCGAAAATTCCTGCGTTAAAAAATAATAAACATTTCCTACCGCAATTTTCAGATGTCAGCTGGATCGGCACATGAACATTCACAGCGCTAAGGATCAACACTGCTCGATATGCGAGTATGCTACCAACATAAAGCATAACCTAACCCGACATATGCTTATACATGAGAGGCAGTAGAGGAAAAAAAAAGCGAAAGCGGAACCAGAATTGACCAGGATAAGGGTCGTGTGACTTCCTGTCACTAGTGAGGTGACAAAAGTAACATCGTGTGAGGTGACTCTCCGTGCAAATCAAATGGAGAGTTACTTCACACAGCGTGACTTTTGTCACCTCACCAGTGACAGAGAGTCACACGACTCGCATAATAGGCCTGACGAGTTTACAGTTGATAGTTAAAAATAAGAAAACAAATCGTTTTTTGATAGGAATATAGGAATATTTCGCATCATCGATAAAAGTCATTAAAAAAAGCTTGGTTTTAAAAACGGCCGAACAACGAAATTTTTCAATTCATTCATAGGTCCTCAGGCTAAAACGGACTAACATATTTTTGTTCGCTCCATAGCTTCCATTGATAACTCTAGTGACGTAGAAGGGCCGATGATTGAAAATTTTCAAATCAAAGCAGGCCCTACTGTTGTTTCGCGGTTGAGACAGGGTCGATGATTTGTTTTTCATTTATTTTACGCTAAATTTTACGGTATGAAAAGGCTTAGGCCGTTCGCCTAATGCTGTTGTATTTTATAAGGACTGTTTCAATTTGAAGCTAGAACAGAAACGCACCTCTCGCAATGCTGAGTTGCAGTTTCATTATTAGAGCACTATTTTGCACCAGATTTGCAACTGCTCGACTATTCTGTTTTATTTCTGAGCGAGTTTGAAACACGAATGGAACTCTGTTTCAAATTTATTTAGATGTATTTGAAGATGTTTCGAAGAGCTTCACAAAAAAACAGAGAACAGTAAAGTTTATGGAACTTGATGATTACAAATATCTTTTAGAACTGTGCGTTGCGCTGATCGTGTTGCAGTTTTATTTTTGACAGTTTCAAATTATAGAATTGTCGAGTCGTTCAAAACAATTTTGAAACTCAGCATTGCGAACGGCCTTAGCAAAGGGCTTACCATTTCTGATGACAAGCAAAAAAGCTTAACAAAAAGGGCCTAACCATTGAAAGAAGATTTACAAAAAGTCTCATTAATTTGTATAATAATTATGAGCACTATACAACAACAAACTATACAAGCGTGACCAGGGATGTGCTCATAATTTATTATACTAATAATAATGCTCATGTTCATAGTTTGTCCTGCAAGTGTGTCTGCGGCATATGTCATACAAGTGTATCCGCGACATAGCCCCTATATTCATCACATTGGTAAGAGCTAAGACGAAATTCTTGATTGCTGCCCCCGTGGAAATTTCTCCAAATGGAACACAGACTGAGTCAGGAATGAGACCTAAATGATTTTTCTATGATTAAGATACATAACAACCCACCTCGTCCATTGTAAAAGTCCTATTAAAAAAAGATCAAGCAATAAGTTATATTATAATTTTATTGTTCTTGACATTAAATTATATGGTAGCTACTATTGATTTTATTGGATACAATAGGTGCTATGTTATTGAATGGTGCATTTTTATTCGGGTGCCCTCGAAATCCCTGAACGTCTATCAAAACTCAGTTTTATAAAATTTAATGTGAAAAGATATTTTCCAAATACACTTGGCATCCCTTCCAGGAACTGCTCGAAAAAAGTGAGCGTTTTTACGTGACGTAATATATGGATGGCCCAAAAACAGTAAACAAATTTTAATGATCAAAACAGTGCACATCAACATTGATATCCACAGAAAAAGTTTCACTAAATTTTGAACAACCATTGAAATTATTATTCATAATTCGTTCTTAAACTGCCTGGTCTTGTTGCTCGAACTGAAATTTTCTGCCTTATTTGAAACATAAAAAATCATGAGTTCACAAATTATCAAAGACCAACCTAAATTGACGGAATATTTCCAAAAAGTCTGTCGATTATGTTTCAGTGAAGAAATGCTTGAAGATGTTTTCAAGTTCAAACAAGACGAGATTATTCGACGGATATCAGATTTACTCTCTATTGTGGTATGCATCAAAAATCTCGTCCGATTTTACATCATAACCAAACCGTTTCTCTTGCAGATTTCCGAAGACGACCAAGTCAGCCGATCTATTTGCACTATCTGTCGGGCACGGTTGTACGAATTCCACGACTACAAAGTGAGCTGCCTCGAAGTGCAAGATGTCCTTCGGAGCCAAATATGTCTGGCCGTGGAGAAAGATCTTTCCGTGTTGGACACAGAACCCGCATTAGACTCTGACCAAATAAAATCCGAGTTGCAGGAATACTTAAACACGGAAGAAAATCTGCTTGAAGAAATGAAAATTTCACCCGAAAACACCGAACAAGATGCAGAAACCGTTAAGATTGATCACATCGAACAACCCGTTAGGAACCGTTCTGTACGGCAGAAGAAATCCGGTCAGAAACGATATGTTTATGAGTATAAAGTAGTGAACAAAACCCAAGTGGTGTCATGCAGCACCTGCGGTAAAAAAGTTCCAAAATCTTGTCTACAGGCCCATCAAGATAAGCATCGTTAGTACCTACTCAACATTATTATTTTTTTTCACGCTTATGTACATCAAATTAATTTACGCACTGTTTCTGATGATCTCACAAAACAGGTCTTCCAAACTACAAATGCGAACGTGGCTGTGTAGGCATGAAGTTTAAATGCCGGCAAACCCAACTTCAGCACTACGTGAACGTTCACGATTATCGGCCATTGGAGTGCAAACTTTGCTACAAATTATTCAGCGCCAAAAGCAGTCTTAACTACCACATGAAGAGCGTACATCAGTTGAAACCATACCAATGCACGATTTGCAACAGTTCGTACCCGATAAAGTAAGGATTAGATGAGGCGAACATTCCTGCGTTAAAAATTAACCAACTTTTCCTACCGCAATTTTCAGATATCTACTGGGGCGGCACATGAAGATTCACAGCGCTAAGATGGATCATCACTGCTCGATATGCGAGTACGCTACCAACATAAAGCATAATCTAACCCGACATATGCTTATGCATGCGAGACAGGAGAAAGAAAGAAACAAAGCAAAGGTAGATCCAGAATTGATGACCATCCTAAGTAGGAAGCTACTATAAAAGGCTAAGGGAGTATCTCCCCCCCTATTCTGCGAGTCGCATGACTCTCTGTCACTAGTGAGGTGACTCTCCGTGCACGTGACTTTTATCACTTCACTAATAGAGAGGCCACGACTCGCCTGACAAGTTTGTAGTTGAAAATAGGAATAGTCTATTTTATTAAATGACAGGAGCTAATTTGCCAAACAGAATTTGCTGATATTTATGTTGCTTCTCACAGCACCTCCTGTCAAAGTTCAATCATGAGTTGAATTAGAATCGTCTCGTAAAATGTTCTCTAAGCATAAGGTATGATCGATCTATTAAGGGGTTACGTATATGTAAAATCGACTAAAAATATGTGTTTTTCAAAAATGGTCGGATTCGATTCGTATTAGTAAACACGTATTCGCATTAGTAAGCACGTGTTGAGGTGAAATGTTACTTACTTACTTATCCTGGTCCGACATCCCTCAGGATTGCACCTGCATCACAATGTTACGCCAATTCACTCGGTCCGAGGCTGCTTGTCTCCAATTTCTTGACCATCCCACACTTCCAAGATCCTGCTCCACTTGGTCTAACCACCTTGCTCGCGGTGCTCCTTTTTTGCGGGATTGTTGTCCGGTATCCATCTTACCCGTCCAGCTTTCGCAACTTTCTGGATATACGGTTCGCCATAGAGTTGCGCCAGCTCGTGGTTTATCCTTCGCCTCCATACACCGTTCTCACATACCCCGCCAAAGATGGTCCTAAGCACTCGTCGTTCGAAAACACCCAGTGCTTGTAGGTCCTCCTCGAGCATCGTCCACGTCTCGTGTCCGTAGCATCTTGTACATAGTACATTTAGTACGGAGGTGAAGTTTACCCGACCTCAGGGTCTTGTGGAGTCCGTAGTAAGCACGACTTCCGGCAATTATACGCCGACGAATTTCTCTGCTGCAGTTGTTATCCGACGTCACCAATGATCCGAGGTACACAAATTCATCCCCCACCTCGAACTCATTTCCGTCGATTGTCACGCTTCTGCCTATGCGAGCCCTATCCCGCTCGGTTTCTTCAGCTAACAGATACTTTGTCTTCGACGTATTCACCTTTAATCCAACCTTCTCTGCTCACGTTTCAGCCTGGTGTACTGCTCCGCCACGGCCTGAAACGTTCTTCCGACAATCCCCCTAATTCTGCGAGTCACGTGACTCTCTGTCACCGGTGAGGTGACAATTGTCACCTCGGGTAAGGTGACTCTCCGTGCAAATCAAATGGAGAGTCACCTCACACGAGGTGACTATTGTCACCTCACCGGTGACAGAGAGTCACGTGACTCGCAGAATAGGGGGGAATGTCCACGTCGTCAGATCGTGCCCCGTATGTTAAAGCCCGCACGTTTCATAACACCTTCTAGCGCAATGTTGAACAGGAGGCAGGAAAGACCATCGCCTTGTCGAAGTCCTTTGCGAGTTTCAAACGAGTCCAATAACGCACCCGACATCTTCACGCAGCACTGTACACCATCCATCGTAGCCCTGATCAGTCTGGTCAGCTTCCCGGGAAAACCGTTCTCGTCCATAATCTTCCATAGCTCTTCACGGTCAATAGTATCATAAGCGGCCTTGAAATCGATGAATAGGTGGTGCGTAGGGACTTGATATTCACGACACTTTTGGAGGATCATCCTCAACGTAAAGGTTTGGTCCGTTGTCGATCGCCCGTCCACAAAACCGGCTTGATAACTTCCCACAAATCTGCTTGCTAGCGGCGATAAACGGCGAAAGATGATCTGGGAAAGCACTTTGTAGGCCGCGTTAAGAATAGTGATCGCTCGATAGTTCTCACATTCTAGTTTGTCGCCTTTTTTATATACTTGGCATATTACTCCCTCTTTCCACTCCTCTTAAGCTTAAGTTCTTAAGCTGTCGGATAGCATCCTTAACTTCACCTATCGTGGGAGCTGGTATGCCCCCCTCATCCGCGGTACCGACGAAGCCATTCCTCCTACCGCCTTGGTCCTCCGCCTCTGCGCCGTTCAGATGTTCATCGTAGTGTTGTTCCACCTTTCAATCACCTCACGTTCGTCCGTTAAGATACCCCCTTCCTTATCCCGACACATTTCGGCTCGCGGCACAAAGGCTTTCTTGTAGAACTTGCGTGTTTCTTGAGAACGATACAGCTGCTCCATTTCTTCGCACTCCAGCGCTGTATCGAGAGTGGTTAACGAAACCGATGTGTGTGGTCATGGATGACGAAACCTACATCAAGGCAGACGCAAATCAGATACCGGGGCTGGAGTTCTACGTTGCCAAATCACGGTTTGATGTTCCGGAAGACATAAGGAAGAAGAAAGTGGACAAATTCACCAAAAAATACTTGCTCTGGCAAGCCATATGCCAATGCGGTAAACTGAGTAAACCGTACATCACAATGGGTGCCATCAACAGCGAAATTTACCGCACCGAGTGCCTCCAGAAGCGTTTGTTGCCCTTCCTGCGGTCCCACGAAGGCGAGACATTATTTTGGCCGGACCTGGCATTATGCTATTACACGCGATCGACGTTGGATTGGTACAGATACCAAAAACCGCTAACCCCCCAAATTCACCAGAGATTCGTCCGGTGGAAAGATTTTGGGCCATAATGAAGGGCAAAGTTCGAAAATCGTCCAAGGTGTTTAAGAACGAGCTGGAGTTGAAGAAATAATGGATGAAAGTGTCCAAAATGGTCGGCTCCACCAGTGCACAAAATGTAATGAGGGGTCTTAAGGGAAAGGTGCGGGCTTTCAGCGATGGAAAGGAAATTAAATAAAGTAATTATGCCGAAACATAATCCATATGTATTAGTTCATTCCCTGAAAGTTTCAAGAAATCCGACTTAAAATAATTTTTTGGCGAACACTTTTGTCTGGTGCATTTTTTTCGAGTACAGGCCTTACAACGAAATCGCAAAGCATTTTAGCGAAACGAGGCACTCACCGTGGCCACGAATTGCAGGGTTCTTTGAATCGCTTAGTCCCGAGTCCGTCCTGCTGGACATTGGATGCAGTAATGGTAAATACCTGGGGTTGAATCCACAGATCATCGGCTTGGGTTGTGATCGGAGCGATAGAGTATTGAAAGTTTACACCGACCGTGGCTTCAATGTGGACAATGCGACTGCCTAGCGTTTCCATTTAAATCGACATGTGTAGATGCTTGCATCTGCATAGTATAAATACTATAGATTTCATTTATAGGAGGAGGAATATATAGCCGTTATCCAACAACTGGCATCGCTGGAACGTCGTAGGCAAGCGATTGGAGAAATGTGCCGAGTACTTCGCCCAAGCACAACAATAAACCACCGCGGGATGGAGAGCCGGAGAAGGTGGTTCCGATTGAACATGGCGACGGGGAATCGGTGCTGCCGATTCACTCCAACAGAACGCAGTTTCAGCATAAGGATTGGCTGGATTCCTTGGAAGTTGCGTGACGTATAACGGCAGCAGCAGGAAGTGAAGGTAACTTTTCTCAGGTACTACCATGTGTTCGAGGAGAAGGAATTGTCCGAATTATGTTTGGCAGTGGGAGGGATTAGCGTGAAGGATAGTTACACCAGGAGAATTGGCGTGTTATTTTTAGAAAATAATGAATATTTAGACCATTAAGGTGATCGATCGACTTGACTTCATCCGAAATGTGTACCCGAAATGTAGATTTATTTGAAATAGCAGTTCATCAACCGTTTTCACGACTCTGTAGAAATTGACCAACTCATCACAGTTATAATTCTCTAGCAGGTCTATCAACTGCGGCAGTTTCGTCTTCACATTGACGCCTTTGAACTTGAACTCGCTTGAACTTATCAATGCACAGATCGGTCCGAATCCCATAGATGCGGTTCAGTATCGTGGGCTGCTTCTTAAATTTGGTTTCGATCCGTCAACAGATTCCGATATTTTTCCGACAGGGTTTCAAACTCTTCATCGTTTCGAATGTCCAAATCGATCAATGCCTGCAGTATCTGGTAGTCCTTCGTCAGCTTGTTATAGTGAACGATCTTCGATACGATCAACTTGATTAATCCGGGAAGCGTTTGCTCGTTGATATCTGAAAATGGGTGCTACCTAGGTGCTACGCAGTTATCAATCAAATAGAATTTGTTGAAAGCTGTTACTCACTGGTTGAAATCGCCAGCTTGATCCGTTTCTTGGTGACTTCCTTCGTAATAAAGTCCTGCAGAATCGAAATGGTAGAAATGTTGTCGCTTCTGAAGTTCGCTTCCGAATGACCGTATTCGTAAATCAGTACCGTTCCGATGAATTCGTAACGGAAAACGAGCCGGTTCCTGTCGTTTCCATAAATCTTTTCCGGTATTTCTGGGATACTGTTCATCAACCAGTTGTGCAATTCAGTCTGACTGAAAGCCCCCTTGAGAGAGAGCACATTCATAGGTCTAGATGCCATCTCGTCTTGGAGGGTCTGAACGATTATATGCGATTTTCGAACTCCACCTTCACTCCACCGAGAATCTTGTGTCCAACCGTTCGCTATATATATATTTTAGACGCCAGGTTAGTCGCCATTTCGTCTTCCTCCTCCAGTGAGAGGGCCAATGCTTGTTTCAAAGATTAATCTGCACACAAACAACAGCAAAGGAGTCGCAGGAGGATCTGTCATTATCAGCTCGATTATCAGCGTTATGTTGTTATGGTTGAGGATATAGTTGCCAGTAAATTTTTTTTTGGTTGAAGTTTTGACAGCTCGGTCAACACGACCAGGGCTCTACATTTTCGAAGCTCTAAAATGAACTCGTGATTTGTTTCTCTCATACATACGTGTACGACGCTTCATTTCTATAACGCCTAGCTAGACTATCAGCAAGAAACGAAAATAAAAAAGCAGGACGCTTAGAAGGAAAGGCTGGCTGTGGAACTTCTCGTCGTTGCTTTGCTCATCGCTTTCAATGTAACTAACGTCGATTTTCTAGCTAAACGAAACCTCATTATGGCTTTCAATCCCCTTTCACGAACACTCTATCACCGCTCTTTCAATTTGTTTAAAATGCGTTATGTCCCGTTTTCGATCATATTTTTTAGATAAATATATGGATGGAAGATAAATTAAAAATATTACGTGTAATCTTCAAGTGTTTTGACGTGAGAAATGCTTTAAATGTGTTATTTCATTTTCCGTCGTATACGTCATGAAACCTCTGTTGATGTGTTTCATGAAAGATAAAACTATCAAAGTCGAGCGCTCATCCGTTTCACCGAAGCTTGAAAGGAAGACCAATGGAGCGACGGGAGAAAGAGAGACAAGCGATTGAACATTTGTTTGTGCACGCCGACTGAGGTTCTAGAATGCTGCGAAGCTGTTCGACTTTAACAGAAAAAGAAAGCCAGCAGTCTCTTCGTCGCATCGATTTGGTCGATTGAAGCTGATATTGTGACCCCCTGAACACGACGAAACACCCAGAAACACTAAAGCCCTACAGTAAAAGTATGGACGTCTGTCAAAAGTTGTTCCAATCGAACCGTCAAAATGCACCGTTTTGCTCGGTTGGAACAGCTTTTTTCAGTTTTGTGGTGACAGTCGTCCATACTTTTACTGTAGGGCTTTAAGAAACACCTTCCGACACCCGGAAACACACATGAAACACAATAAGCACAGACACAAGGTGGCAGAGTGACTTACCCCCTGGTCTATGCCGATTGTTCCGGTCCGTATTTACATTGCTTGCTTCCTGTACTTTTGTTTTTTTTTACGGCTGGCTTGTAGGGCCTGCACTAACCCCCATTGTCTCGCCGGGGGACCATCGTGCACAGCACTGTTTAGAGTCCCACGCTGGCACCAGGACGTTGATCAGCCGCTCCTAACATGGAGAACAGACGCCGTTTTGAGTCGCACCTCCATGGTGAACAGACGCTCGAAGACTGCACTCCCCGGAAAGAGGAGTCTCCCCCTTCCCTGTCAGTATACGACCAAGGTCCCACCGGGGTTGGTTACCCGATCTTCCCTATAGTTACTCGTACCCCAGCCGGCACCGCGGGGAGTTACTGGGAGTTACTGGACAAGACGCTAAGGAACGCTAGTGGGGATACGCGAAGTATCAATGGTACGCATTGTCCAGCCGAACCGAAGTCCGATGTGGTTGCACTACGATTTGATATTTTGTACTCTAAATTAACCTGTCTATTCTGACATTCTTAGAGGTGTATTAATCTAAGCGGATTCAAAACCTGCTAATCGGTATTTTTCGATAAAAGTTTGATTTATACGGTTTCTCAAATAAATCATTAACATAAGGATCCAAAATGTGCTTCTGGGCTACGTCCCTCCCCTTGGCTAGTTTTTGCACCTTGCTGTTGGTGGGCGAGCTTAATTTCATGCTTTATAGTGGAGTGTTAGAGACGGTAGGTTTATGGTCGGCGTTTCTGGCTCATGCCGCGATAGAAATGCGTCATGGGCAGGCAATGGGGATTACTAAGCTTCCCTTCTCTGATAAACCACTGCATGAGAGAACCAAAGATCTAGTCTAGCAGTGATAGTATCACACTTGTTACTCCTTTAATTGAGAGCCGCGTCGTAGTACGCTTATGTATATTCACTGACGTTGGGTGTGATATAGACTGTTCCAGAAAGTATAAGCAAACTTTCAAAATAACAAAAAAGTCATGTTTTTTTAAGTTTTAATAATTTTATTTGGCAAATCATATTTGCATTTGTATTTCAAATGATATTTTACTCTCGTTTAATCAACATATTTAATCATAGCCAAGACTCCTAACTTTTCCTCGATCATGACCCATTAGCTTCTGCACAGTGGTACTTCCCACCATTTTGACCACTTTTGGCCAATCTTTTTTGAATTTTTGGATGTCGTCCGCTGGTTTTATTAATTTTCGAAGCTTTGCTTTGGTTAAAGCCCAAAAAGTCTCGATTGGCCGTGCCTCCGGGCTGTTCGGCGGATTCATGTCTTTCGGCACGAAACATACATTTTGACTTTTGTACCATTCTAAAGTGTCCTTTGCGTAATGACATGACGCCAAATCAGGCCAAAATACTACTTGACCTTCGTGCTGCCATCGGCAACAATCGCTTCTGGAGACATTCCTTAACGTATTTCTGAGTGTTCATCGTCTCCGTTGTGATGTACGGACTAGATTTTTTACCACACTCGCATATTGCCTGCCAAACCATAACCTTCTTACCGAATTTTTCGGTAAAAATTGCCTTCTCCGTTTCGGGGATGTCCTTGCCTTCGCTTACAGTATAGAATTGTGGTCCGGGAAGCGTTTTGTAATCTAGTTTCACGTACGTTTCGTCGTCCATTATTATACACCCAGAGTTTCGACACAATAACGAATCGAAGAGTTTGCGGGCCCGTGGTTGCACGGACGCGGCCTGTTTGGGTTCCTTTTGGGTTTTTTCTGCTTCCGGTATGTTTTTAGCCCAAGTCTTTCTTTGGCACGCATGACGTTACTCGACGAGGTCCCTAGTTTTTTCGCAACATCCCGAACGGAAGTCGCTGGTTTTCGTTTGTAGGCATCCCTGATCTTTTTATCGATATCCGGACTTACAGGACCGGATTTCCGGCCACACTTCGGCGCATCTTCAAACGTACACTGTTCTCTATATTTTTAAATCGCAGTTCGTACCGGTCCGACGCTTACACACTCTTCCTTGGCCAATTTTCTCAAGGAGGGTCCGCTCACAGTGCACCATTTGTGCACGATACTTTTTCGTTGTTCCGGAGTAAGACCAACAATCAATACGAAACTAACGATTTTAAATTGGCTCACTACTTGACTAGCCTATTGGTCCCAAGCAAACGATTAACGTACCCCATTCTAGTCGAACTTCTAGTACTACACAATGTTTGTTTTGATTTGCTATGAAAGTTTGACAGATAAAATGAGGGGCTAGTGGATTTTCCTATGTTTCGAGGGGTGAATCGATTAGCTTGGGGCCGAAGAGAGTACCAGAGCTGAACCAAAAAGTTGGGCACGTTTCTTCGGGACCTTCTAGTCTTAGAGTTACCTCTATGGTAAGACCGTAAGACCACGCATTTTGACAGGAAACACAAAACTGAGCACATTTTTGATGCTATGTAATTCAGAAATGGGCAAACAAAAGGACGCAGCCAAAACATGTTGAAATATTTCATTATTTTCAAAGTGACCGTTAAAATAAGGTGTGCTTATACTTTCTGGAACAGTCTATACTGGCGGGTTTTGCCGCAAATCACTCTTATTTTATTTATTTTTACGCAGATAGATTTATTTGGGTTTGCAAGGGAATTATATCAACAATAGCAACAATCAATACGAAACTAACGATTTTAAATTGGCTCACTACTTGACTAGCCTATTGGTCCAAAGCAAACGATTAACGTATCCCATTCTAGTCGAAATTCTAGTACTACGCATTTGATTTGATTCGCTATGAAAGTTTGACAGATAAAATGAGGGGTTATTGGTTTTTCCTATGTTTCGAGGGGTGAATCGATTAGATTGCGACCGAAGAGAGTACCAGAGCTGAGCCAAAAAGTTGAGCACGTTATTTCGGGACCTTCTAGTCTTAGAGTTACCTTTATGATTGGATGGTGCATTTATGCATTGATGCATTAACTTACGCATTGGTTAATTTTACTACGCAATGATGCATAAAGTGTTGTTCAATAGCTTTCAAATCATCCTTAGTTTGAATAATTGTTGTACATAGACCGAGACAAAACTCCTAGAGAAAATTAAAAGTTACCCTTCTTATCAACCTTCCTGAACCAAATTAATCACCAGGACAGAACGAAGGTCATCGTTCTCCATCATTCCGTCATGTCTAATTCTGAACCGCAACTTCCGAATCCGGTGCAATTTTTTCATCACTCCATCATTAAGAGTTCCTTGCCATTCTCGAAACTAGAACCCCCTCCAGTCGACAGAACGTAAAAGCAATCATTCACCGAAATCCTATTCAACCCAATCACTCTTTTCCCCGCGGAGGTCGACCGTAATCTCGAAACCAATAAAACATACGATTACCCAAAAGTCACAACATTGTTCTGTTTCATCTCGTTTCACTTGATAAGTAGGTATTAGTTCTCCTGAACTTCCATGTTGTTTCGGGACGCATTTCACAATTAGTCGTTTACTGGGCTGATATGATAAGATTCGATTATTTTTTTTTGGGTTGTGGAATTCCGGCATCACAATCATCCCGTTCCCGTTCGCTTTCACTCTATAGGAAAAGATCAGCCAGTTGCCGATCGACGCTCCGGCCGGAATAACGTGCTCACTACTTAGCTCTCACGCTGTTGCATTCTGAATTCTGGAAGATTTCCTAGAACCGTTTCAATTTTCTCAAGTGGTTGATCGAGTTATGTAACGCTTTAGCGATGTGGAGTGTTCAACGGATTTCAGTGCATTTCCTTTTGCTGGTAGCCGGTAGCTGTTTGGCTGTGGGAAAATTCTGCAACGAAGTTGAAAAGTAGTGCCACGCAAAATGTGCCCCATTTACAGAAGTGTTGCTAAAATTTTGAAAATTGATTTCAGAGTACCGAAGTTAGTGCAAACTGTGAACAAAGGAGTGGAATATGGAGTGTGCAACTACTACTGCATGTTCTCGGAGCATAGTTTCACGGTACCGGTGCCCATTGAGAAGATGTCGTGTGCTGTGAGTTGCCCGGTTTTGTGAATGATTAAACATAAAATGGATGACTAAAAGTAGTGACTTTTCCTTTCAAATTATAGTTGGAATACGAAACCCACCAGAAGCAGGTCTGCTGCGAAGGATATCACCGTTACGGGAGTGAATGCTTACCTACCTGCAAGCACAAGTGTATCTTCGGCGAATGCACTGCACCGGAAGCGTGCAGCTGCTATGGTGGCTATCGGAAAGTGAATGAATTTCTGTAAGTGAAGGTTTCATCCACATCCATGAAGAATGATTGAAATGTGATTTTACGTTTCTCCGCAGTTGTGAGCCGATCTGTGAATCGCCATGTGATAATGGTCGTTGCGTAGCGCCAAATTCCTGCGTCTGTGATGAAGGTTTCGAGAAGGATGAGCACGGGGAGTGTGCGAGGAAATGTGAAAAGGAATGTCAATTTGGGCGGTGTGAGGAAAATCAGTGTCGGTGTTATGAGGGATACGCGTTGGATCCGGAAAACGATGGCCGCTGTGTGCCGCAGTGCGAACCGGAATGCCAGAATGGGAACTGCGTTCAGACGAACGTTTGCCAGTGTGCAGCAGGTTGGTGTGATGTATTTATTTGAACTTTATACAGGGCCCATGAGATCAAGCCATATTTGAGTTCAGTTTAATCATAAGCGCAAAAAGTGCAGGAACTTAGCGATGAGTAAATTTGCCCAGCGGCGCACGGTGGTGTAGTCGTAAACGTAATTTCCTCTCAACCCTAAGGGCCTGGGTTCAATCCTAGTCGGCGCCATCGGGATTTTCTGAGGCATAAAATCTCTGATCACGCCTTCCTTCGGAAGGGTAGTAAAGCCGCTGGATGGGTCGATAGGTAGGGTCCAGTTGTAAGAAACACCTCCCTCGCGACGATAGCATTGGTACTCAGTACGGAAAAAAAAAGAAATTAATTTGCTTCATGTTTTCCTGTGGAAAAACTAAAAAAATCTGCTGGAAAATGAGGGAAATTGACGAAAACTTTACTCAGCTTAGGAGTAGTACCAATAGACTGAGAGAATCCAATCTTTACTTTTCTCATATTTACTCATCACTGAGTTCCTGCACTTATAAATAAACTGAATTCAAATTTGGGTTGATCTCATTGGCCGGGTAGTGCGGATATAACAATCTTAAGCCGGTATGTTGTTTCGGCAGTTTTGAATCAAATTGTTTCAGTTATCAATGTGTCTAGGAGTTGAAACACAAAGTATTTAGCCTAATTACTTGAAGCGTAATTTCATTCTCTAATCTATGTATAGAATATGTCATGGAATGCATTTTTTTCATTTTGTTTATTTGATAAGGCTTAATCACGAGAGCCGTGATTTCTTCTTTGTGGCTTTACAAAACTTCTTAAATCTAGGACTAGTAAGAGTAAGACCGGATAATTACGGTTTGTTCGAGCTTAGCGGCCGGGGCTACATTTTTGTTTGTGGATAGGATTGGGAGAGGAGTCTGGAAGTAGAGTGTTTCTAGCGTGTTGACGGTAGTATCACCGACAAACCGACATGAATGACCATAGCAAAAACAATAAAATTTCTAACCAAAGCACACTACTAGCATCTGGCTCCATGTTCGCCAGAAATATTTAGCTAAACCATGAACCCGCATGCAAAAGTTATGAATTGGTTCGTGTCTGATCTATTCTGGACAAATTATTTTTATCTAGATCAAAAACTCCTATGGTTTTGACAGCTCGGATCACTGGCCATTTAAATCGGCCGTTTACGATTTTCGGGCATAAGTTAGAATTAAGTGTCATGTCGGTTTGTCGGTGGTAGTATCAACAATCAATACGAAACTAACGATTTTAAATTGGCTCATTACATGACTAGCCTATTGGCCCAAGCAAACGATTAACGTACCCCATTCTTGTCGAAATTCTACTACTACACAATGTTTGTTTTGATTCACTATGAAAGTTTTATAGATAAAATGAGGGATTAGTGGATTTTCGTATGTTTCGAGGGGTGAATCGATAAGCTTGGGACCGAAGAGAGTACCAGTGCTGAGCCAAAAAGTTGAGTACGTTATTTCGGGACCTTAGTCTTAGAGATACCTCTATGGTAGTATCTTGATTTTTTAACCAAACCCGGGTTTTTGAATATCTGATATCTTGAAAAATATGTATGTTTGAATTATCGAAATAATTTCATTGGAACTTTCGCAAATTTGTTGTGCCATTTTCTATAGGAATTCCCGAGGGGGCGACACATCTAAATATGAATTCTAAATTCTTAACAAATCTCACACTAGCGAATCAATCTTAGGAAAATCTTCTTTCATTTCTCACATCTACTTGCATCGCGCATCATCTTTTTGCAGAAAATCTTCAGAATCATCATCAATCTTCTTTCTATATACTCAGCATGCGCACAGCTAACCACAGCAAAACAAAATTTTTCGTGCATCGTAGATAGAGTCGCCCCCCTTGGGAATTCCTCGGAATGATTCTAGAATTTGCAGAAATGTTCTACAAACGTTCCCAAGAGAATCGTGTTTTTTTCAAACTGCTCAAAAAATTCATCACTTGATCGAGCAATTGATTTAAGATTTTTCAGACTTTAAGTCCGAGTGAAAGGAAACGTCATTTTAAACTGCCCGAACGATGTGATATATTCACAAGCTTGAAAATATTCCGTAAGGTCACTAGTTTCCCAATGCTTATTTTAAGTAGCCATCATCTGGTTTGAAGATTCAAATTTGGCACAATTTGTTACATAAATTTCAAACGGGAGCTTCGCATCGTAGCATTTAAAAAGACTATCGCTCTTACCGTTAAACATCAACTAAGCTTTATTCAAATTAATCATTATTAAATTGGTTCTACCTGATTTATTGCCTAAGGCTGCATATTAGACTGATGTCAAATTTGAAATTGTCGCTCCACAGTGCTTAAACGGCTCCGAAAATTGGAACTCATTTAGTTAAAAACTGACTGTTTACAAACCATTTGAAGTTAATATCGGAATTACTATGGGAACAACAACGTTTGGATTCTTATCATTCTAACAATTCACCATATTCATACATACAATTTGGATAGCTGTTCTTCTATATTTTTCTATTTTTCTCCGCGACAACTTTGCTGATGATCTTAAATGAACGGAATAAAAGTTATCAATGGTTTTAAGACGCTGATATCTTATGATCATGCTCAATCAACTGCTCAATAGTTGGTGTCTCTGGCGCTTGGAATAGAGCACAAAAATCATGGCTACTATGTGACACTGCACTTGATCATGTCATAAGATTACCAATCTGTTAAATAATTAGGTAATACATTTTTCATATGTCGTTTGACTAAAACACAATCTTGAGCAAAGTTGTAGCAGAGATAATTTTCTAGAATAAAAGCTATCGAACATTCTCTCAGAGCAATTTAAAAAAAGTGTAGAAGCCAATGATCAAAAAGTTTGGATTTCCCATAGTAATTCTCATACAAACTTCAAATGGTTTGTGCACATTCAGTTTCCAACCAATCGAGTTCAAATTTTAGGTGGCTAATCAGGACCCGGCTTGGAATCATTAAAGCACTGTGGAGCGAAGATTTAAAATTTTGCATCAGTCTACTGCATATCCTGTTGCTGTTTACTAGGAGTTTTGTGTTAGTTCCCGTAGCTGCTTACGCTGGCGGTTTACAGTGGACTATGTATGTGCTGACCGGGTGTGATATCGATGCTCGGGTGATTGGCCAGATTCTGACCGTGTAGACTGGTGCAATTGGTGACTGTGCTATAGCTTGTATTATGACTGATGTGGTGGGTGATATAATCGGGCCGTTGGTAACTTTATACATATAGAGAATTGTTATAGGGTAAACGTCGGATCACTAAACCAATTCGCTGGATGTATTCTGGTTTCCTTAGACTTCCAGCTTCAATCTAAAAATGTTTTTATGGCTGACCAAACGCAATTTTACAGTTTTTTTTCTTGAAATAAAACACACGCACTACAAAATACTGCTGATTTCGAGTTATCGATAATAGAACAGCAGATTAACAACCAGATCAAATGTAAAGGTTGCCACAAAAAAAGAGGCTGCCGACAATAGTGTGACATGTGCATACCACATGTCATTGCTACTTTTCTTTTCTAGTGGGAATATGCTGCGAAGCTTAATTACACCCGGCATCGAACCTTCAGTTCAATGCCTGGTCAAACCCTGTCAGCATTCATTGCGACAAACAGAAGTGTCGTATAACAATTTATTGAACCATACTGTTACCAAAAGTACAGTCATGGATTTTCTGATACTTTTCCATTCCCTCTTTCGCATGGCCGCCGATCACTAACTGGTGTTCGAGTAAATAGTAATTTATATATTCGGTGCTTCAAGTGTCTCCAACTAGGACTCTGTAAGAAAAATGAAAAAGCAAATGAATTAATTACGATCCAACGATCAAACACGACGTTTCGTTTGAAACCGATATATCACGGTCATGGGTTCTGTGAACTAAGGACTTAACAATAGTCACACTCACCTGAGAAGCTTGAAGCGTTGTAAAAGTGCTTTTACCGTTGTGGACAATTCTATCGATTTAAATGGATTAACCACCAGGTAGCAGCTATTTGAAAAAGCCCATATAGGCATGGACGCTGCTTAGATTGCTGAGAATACGTAAATTCCCTCAAAGAAAGTTTAGAGATGAACTAGCCTAAGGCTAAAAATCTCTTTAATAAAGAAAAAAAAAAAAAAAAACCTCAAAGAAAGTAGTTATATAACGACATAAACTTTTAATGTCGCTATAGAGAGAGTATAACCAAAGAAGAATACTAAGATGACTAGTAACAGTCGGAAGAAATAACTTTCTATTTTAGTGTCCTTTTTCACGGTCCCTTTCATTCATTTGCATGGTGTTTTGTGGTTATACTGCCCCTCGGAAGAGTTGACAGTTAGCGCTTTTTTTATATAAAAAATCTCACCAAAAATCAGTGATGTCCCGTTTTTTTAATTATTCGATTAACAACTAATCGATTAGTTTTTGTACGATGAGCTGTCATTTTTCCATCAATGAGAGTTCAGAACATATTTGAAACGGTGTTGGTGATGATCATCTGGAGAAGCCAATGCTTACTTGGCGTGAAATAATCGATTACAAATTTGTTAATTAGGGTTAACTACCCCATTTCCGGCCTATTAAGCACAACCCGCACTTAGTCTTTCGTAATCTAGCGCAGTTTAGCACCAAACGGAATGTTATTATTACTGATGGCAAGCAAATTAATTAACCTTTCTGTACGTACCGTAAGATTCGATAAAAAGAAACCAATTGTTGTCAAAAATCTAACACTGCTTCTTGACGCCAAACTCGGCCTACGGATTCTAAACTTGGCCTATTGGCGCATTGAAACGCCAATGAATTCACTTCGGCCTATCGGATGAAGATAAAACATGATTCGGTCGGAGTGCTTCTTTTGTTTTTGGGAATAATGGGTGCAAACCTCCATATCACGCGTTCTCATTGACTTCGTTCAGAAGCTAATTAACTAAAGTATCGTACCAAACGCATAATTGACTTGTTAACTTTGAAATCATGGATTTATTCTGCTCGATAGGC